GTACTTGCAGGGGATATGAACGCACAAGTAGGGCGTCTGAGCTCTTCAGAAGCTCAGCTGGGTGGAAATTGTGGGCTTAACTCCGAACGGACTGACACCAGTGAGCATCTGCTGCAACTGTGTGTGGAGCACCAGTTGTTTCTTAGTAGCACTGCTTTTAGACACAGTGGGCGCCAAAGTGCCACTTGGCGTCCTCTTGTAGCTGGCCAGCGATGGACCCAAATTGACCACATTGGCATAAGTTACAGGTGGCTTGGTTCCATTCTGGATTGCCGCCCGTACTGGAGTACCTGTGTCGACTCTGACCATGCCTTGGTGCGCTGTCGTTTCTCCATGAACTTTACCCGGAGGCGCACCAAGTGTCCCCTACGATTGGCAACGGAGAAATTGACCCAGCCCTCTGTCAGGCAAGCCTATCAAGAAGCACTGCATAGCGAACTCTCGCTGTCTTGTCCTAATGACACTGAGTTTCAGTGGAATAGGATCTCTGCCGCCATGCACGACGCAGGAGCATCTGCGTGTGGCACTATCCATCGTCACTGCACCAGTCACTGGATATTCAGGAGGTCGGTGAACTTGTTGGAATCTAGAAGACACCTCCCGGCTGGCTCTGAACATAATGTGACCAGACGGGCTATTAGTCGTGAACTAAAGCAGAGCCTACGTGCTGACAAGGAAGCCTGGTGGACCAGTTGGGCTCAAGAAATGGAGGAGGCAGGAGCAGTAGGCAATTACCGGAAGCTCTTCCAGCTAATACGCACCACTGGTCCGAAAAAACCAGGCGTCAGTGAGACAATCAGGCAGCGCGGGTGCGCTGGTACACAATAAGGAGTGCCGTATGGCTCGTTGGGCGGAACACTTTGAAGGTCAGTTCAGCTGGACCCCTGCTCCCGGACCTTTTCCTACTCAGGTGATGCAGGACGAGCCATGGACGGTTAGTTTAGAGCCTCCGTCGGAGGCCGAGGTCCGAAACGCGATCACAGCCCTTAATCGTTTTCGTGCCGCTGGTCCGGATTCCTTTCCACCTGCACTATTTAAGGATGGAGGTGAGGTCCTCTGCAAAGCGCTGACCTCCTTATTCGAATGTATCTGGAAGGAAGTGTCCCGGCTAATTGGGGCGAATCGATTATAGTGGCAATATACAAGAAGGGCAGTCGCACAGACTGTTCTAACCACAGGGGTATGAGCCTAATGCCAGTTGTGACAAAATTACTGGCCTCGATTATCGTTCGTTGCCTCACTGCGGAACGGGAATCTCGGATTAGGGAAGAACAGGCAGGTTTTCGCCCACGACATGGCTGTATAGACCATATATTCACTTTGCGGCAGCGCTAGGGCAGCGCCACGCATACAGCAGACCGACAATAGCTATGTTCCTCGATTTCAAGAGTGCGTTCGATTCAGTCGATCGATCGATTCTATTCGAAATACTTGCGCGGAAAGGTGTTCCCACGAAATGTGTGAACATCCTTCGTGCTCTATACTCGAACACTACAGGCCGCGTCAGGGTCTACGGTGTCCTGTCGGAGAGCTTTCCGAGCGCAAGTGGCGTTCGTCAGGGTTGTCCGATTTCCCCGTTTGTTCAATTTCGTCGTGGATTCTATCAGGGATCTCACGATGTAGGCGTTGAAGTGCTGCCTGGTGAACGGTTAGTTGATCTAGATTATGCGGACGATATCGTCTTGCTTTTCGACAATGTTGAGGCGGCACAATCAACCCTGAATAGCCTATCCAGAGTGGTCCCATTATTTGGTATGCACTTCGCACCTTCAAAGTGCCAAGTGTTGCTGCAGGACCACCAGCCACTCGATGACCCCTTGACGCTTGCTAACGAGGAACTCGAGGTGGTTGATCAATTTACTTATCTTGGCAGCTGCATCAGCAATGATGGGCGCATAGAAACTGAAGTCAGCTCGCGCATTACAAAAACCAAAGCTACCTTCTTGAACTTGCGTCATCTTTGGCGACAGAAGGGAGTTTCCCTCCGTCTGAAAGGCCGTGTATACAAGGCCACAGTGAGGGCCGTTCTGCTCTATGGCAGTGAGACTTGGCCCCTTCGGTCTGAAGATCTGAGGCGCCTTCAAGTCTTTGATCATCGTTGTTTGCGAAGCATTGCTGGTGTCGGATGTCACCAGCGTGTCCGCAACGATAATGTGCGTAGGCAAGTACTAGGTAGTGATAAACATGCTAGTTCCTTAGAACAACAGATAGCACTGAATAAGTTGCGTTGGCTCGGACACGTGCTACGTATGCCTGGTTACCGCTTACCTAGGAGGGCCATGTTTAGTCTGCCAGGTGTAGGGTAGCGCAAGGCTCGAGGTGGACAGAAGTTGACTTGGCAGCGGGAAATGAAGTCACTGACGACCAAACTGAGTGTCGTTGGTCCGTCTCGCCTTCCGGGTTAGAGTCCACGTGACTTGCCTTGTGCTTGGCTTAAGACTTTACAGGACATGGCTCGCAATCGACACCAGTGGCGCGTCTGCTGCCGTCTCCTGATTGGATTGCCTGTTTAAAGGATGTTTGGTGCTGAGTTATCTGCGGGGTAATGGTTGATTATGACGCGTGGCAGTGAAAGCCGCAAGGAAGCTGTCTCGCCGATGCTGCCTTATCTTTGCACGATAGCCAGCTGTTTGTGACGGAATGTTGTCTACACAAGATGCAGGCGCCTTGACCCTGAATGTTTGCTTAGGGCATTAAGGTTTTCAGGTAAGTCCCCCTTCTCTCCTTCTTCTTATTCTTTATTTCATAGTTCCTCATGGTTGTATGGCAGCGAAGCATCAGTTCAAATGGCTGATGTACTGCTGTTGATGATGATGACGCACTCCCTGCATGTCCCGAGACCTCACATTAAACGTCTCGCAGCCCGCACCGTTGGAGCGTTCGCTGTCGCCCCGCGAGTTAACTTAGTTTTTATATGGGGCTGATCTACCTATAAAGTAAGGTTGATTATGACAGGAATCTATGAAAACCACAAGGAGACCGTCTGCCTGATGGCACCTTGTCTTCGCACGTCAACCGGCGGTCTGTGATTATGCCTTCTTGACAAAGTATAAGTGCCTTAGTGCCAAACACTTACCTTGGATAATTGGATTTTAGACTGCCCTTCGTATTTCCTTACTCGGTTCCAGTGACCTCTCAGTTTATGGTGGTGTGTGCACAGATGCAACTGTATTGATCAATTGCTATTGATGCGGATCTCCGTCATGAATGTTCTACACCAGCGCTGTTTAACTTCCCACTTCCCCCTCAACTTTCTCACTTGAATGATCTTGATCCCTTTACTTCTGATTTACTTTTGCAACTTTGCGCGGACGACTTTGTTACCCTAAGGTTAGACTCGACCTCCATGGAAAGCTGTTATGATTAACTTACTACAACTGTTCATGCTTCGCACCTCATTTTCAAGCATTACTACTGCGGGATTGGTCCGGCGTACTAGTTCTGCCTATCACCAGCAACGCACTCATCGTGGTCGATCCGTTCACTTATCTAGCCACCACTTCTAGTGGTCGCGTCCCCGAGGCTACTGTGCGTAGAAACAAGGTCAGTGTACCATTTCAGTACGGAACATCAGGTTATCGAGCAAACGTACAGTGCTGTCCGTACTTACGTACTACCATGCGGTTCAGATAACCATTGTATGTTACGGCCGGTAGACGAGTGGTCTGCGCGCCCGGGTTGCAACCATAAGGTCACCGGTTCGAATCCGCGTAGGGGTGGGCGTCCTCGCGGTATACTCAGCCCACGCACGACTGGTGGTGGTTGCGTGGCAGCGAAGCGCTGTTACGGCGTACAGCTGGCGATTATTATTTTTATTCTTTGGTCACCAATGCTTGCGACGGATTGCGGATACATTGTGATACTGCCTAGTGTTTAGCACTCCCTGCCTTGTTTTGTCATCTTGTTATTCGAATGCCTGTTACCTGCATTTTTTTCTTTTTTATCTTTGTTGGCCGTTGAGTGGCCAGTCCATAAGATGACGAATGGACATACGAAAACTGACTGATAGACTTGTTCAGACAGACTTGTGTCGTGCTTTAGGTAGTTGTTCCGGAGTCATTTTCATACGCCTATCTAACATCCCGCGATCCTGTTGTTAGAGCTCCTGTATTTGCTCATTCTATTTTTTTCTACCACACGGTTGCCTTGTTACAGTTTCATCGCAACTTTCTCAGCTGCACCTCACTTTTCCGGTACTTCCATTTCATCCGAACTGAACTGACTTCCGTTTGTAGTTTTTGAAATGGCTTAGTGCATGGTGATCGCTTCTTCTATACTGTACCTGCCCATCAGGAACAATCATTCCGGTCCGTCCCTGTTCTCTAAGAAGCAGTTAAGAATTCTCTAAATTGTTTTGTTTAGCGGAGTTCCTTCGCATCGTTTTTATTTTTCGCTTTCAGTTGACACACTTGCCTAATCCCGAATTTTTTCCGTTGCGACACAATGCCATCAAAGTGCATTTCTCATGAATTCCATGCAACGACGAAAATAAGCCATAATTATGTCAAACGATATATACACACACACACACATATATATATATATATATATATATAATGGTTTGCAAACCTTGATTATGCGCGCTGTATGATCGGGAAACTGTGGGGCAGAACATCCACTCTATGTTCTTGTAACCGTGGTCCTATGAAACAAACTAACGTACAAGGCACAAATCACTGCTAGCCTTGCAACGAGTTGAAATAGCTTAGCGTAACAGTATGGTCCTTGGCAGAATGACAACTTGTGACATTGGAACATGAAGCTTGCTCTAGTGAACCAAACTGACCTCATTTTATGCTTTTAAATTTGACTGTCTAAAGCACGCGAAGCGACTTATCGAGTGGGAATGAATGAATTAGGTGGAAATGAGGACACTGCGTCCTTAGGAGGAAATACCACAGCTCATACTCGGCATGGAAGGTAATGCAGCTTATGCAATTCATTAGATTCTTTGCTCATTGTTTAAGCTGTCCATATCTTTTCCCTGTCCATCACTTCAGCTGCTTCGACCCGTGTGTGCTCCAGCAGTTCTCGACCGCACTCCTCTGGATCAACGAAATCCACGTTCTCCCTCTCCCACACAAATCATGCTTCCGGAAACCGGCATCGCCCTAGCATACTGAAACGTGGCTTCACTTCGCTTTTGTCCCCTATACTCAGTAGTGGTACGTTTTTTATTTTAGCCTTTGATACTTGTGTGCTTGCCATGCTTCCAGTGTTGCCGAAATGTTTGAAGTGATACCGCTTCTGAAATGCGTTGGTCTGATGTTGTTAACTCGGTAACATTATGACAGGAGCGATCAGCTTCGCGGGAATCCATTCCCTTCTCAACTTTTCAGACAGGTCAGATAGCTTGTCGCGACGCATTAAAGACAGTTCCCATCAACTTTCGGCTAATCTACACGTCTCGTTATTGATGGCTAGCGTCCTCCATCAGTTTCTCCTTTCGGTCTTGCGGATCATGAGCTCAATTAGCAAACTTGGAGCCTCGATCGCTGCCGACAAGACAGTTACAGAGCATGTAACCACTATACAGTGGTTAGAATCCAACCACACGGTACCGATAATTCGATTGGCTTTTATCAGCTATCACCAGTTGCAACTAATGACACTGTAGTCGCTCTCGGTTCAAAGCGATTTTCTTTCGATTGTCCACGCAATCATTTGTGTCGTTCATATACTTGTATCATAAACAGTCGACTGATTCGGCAGCGCGATCGCATCAACTCCCAGCCTGCTTCTTGTGCTGTGTCCGTACTTTGTTACTTGACCTGTCCGCGTTCATTTTGTCACTAGTGACTATTATACCTGCATTCCTAGCTATTCGGATGAAAGATGTGAGTTATCACTGCCATTCAGCTGCAATCAGAAAGATGTATCTTTAATTGACGCTTGTTTACTCTGAGTGGGTTTTTTAACCAAGGCATGCACTTAAGGCTACCCACTGGTATACATTCAGGTGAATTTCTTTCTGTGCTTATACGACATCATGAGTACTGCGAACCTACAACTGCGTCGGGCTATATCGCATTTAGCTAACAATTCATGATAGTCAGATACCGTCCTCCATGGCGCAGTTACATAAGCTGCAGGCTAGTCTGCAAGATCCACTAGCAGTCATGGGTTCGATCTTCCTCAGAGGACCGAAGGATGCGCACCACTGATGAGCCCCAATAGGGCGAAACGGCCGTCTGGTGCTTTTCCGGATAGCTGGTCGACATATCTGAATTGTCTGCTGATTGCGACGAACAAAAATACTCACCAAAATCCTTCCATTCATAAGTAACCTACAACTCTGCACTACGATATTGGCGATGAGCACATTTTTTGTTAGTGGAAGTAGCGCGCAGCTTCCTGCTAACCAGCGCCTTTGGTTTAGCCAGTAAGCTGCTAGATCGTTAATGATTCTGATATAGGTTAGCCCGTTTTGTTGTTACACCTGGTTAGCCGTCACACGGTGCACCACATAGTATCACTATTCGACCCATGTACCACTTCGCTGTCTTGCGAGTAGACTATTCAGCCAAAAGCTGATGGTGGACTCCCCTACGACAACTCCCTACTTCGACTTAGGCAACCGGGTTGTATCGTGCCTTTGAAGATACTATGGATTTCTCTGTGTTGTGTTCCGTTTTCTTATCGACAACTGTACCTTCCTTTGGTTTTCATGGTTTTTGATGACATCACGTCTATTCGCGGACTGCTAAATATATATTTGCGGCTCATGATTCCGAATTTGCCTGTCGCTGCGGACTCCGTAGGACAGCCACAGGACCCCTGCACCTACGATGGGGCCATGTATGGCCTGCGCTGCACCGCTCACAGCTTCCTCCACACATCCTATATCCAGTGTGCACCCGAACGAATATGACCGGGAGGCATGGGGATGGAAACAGGGTTTCTTCAACGGAGCCGATCTACGTTCCGTCAACATGCACAGTGACATCATTCCTGTTTATTTAATTTGGGAATCATGCGTACCAGACGTACACAAAGCGGTGGCTGGACCGTAGTCCGCTCCACATTGGATGGAACCACTCTTTGAGCCTAGCACGGCCACGAGGACCGTGCACCTCGTCCCCCCAGCAACGATTCACAATTTCCTAGAGCCCGTATACTCGAGGTAGCGGTTTTTCGACTGGTAGACACTTTGCCAACCTTCACATCAAACGTATGCACACCGGAGATATCAAACAACCACTATCAAATTTGAAGGAAAATAAACACGCAAAGTTGACACAGAAGATGCAACAAAAGAACTGAACTGAACAAATCAAATAAAGTGAAATACTTTATATCTAGGTTAAGTAGCTTTAGTTTAATTTAAGGTCAGTATAGCCTAAGTGCCGTAAAGATGATTGGGGTATGCAACGTCTTCCTCAGCACGAGACACACCGCGCCTCGCATACACCACAAAACTACACACCTAACACCATACACTTACACCGCATACACAGTACTGAGGCAATCATGTGGCCTAAACGCACATAAACCCGAGCACTAACTAATATCACACCCACACACTCCACCACCACCGCGCCATTCATACACACATTACATACCTCGAACTTGATGCTCGCGCACCTCTTCACTCGCAATACAATATTCTCCAATCTACAACTATCGTCGCTCTCACATAACAAGCAAACAACGCTTCCACTCACTCACCTGCCGAGCCTCAGCCACAATCATCACGAACGCTATTTGAACGATACTCCGCCCATCGCGCACATCTCCAACTAACCTCTTACTATATATATATATATATATATATATATATATATATATATATATATATATATATATGCTGAGGCTGATGTTGCATTCTTGATGCTTCTTCACCGCAGTTGGGCTAAACCAGCTTACACTTAAACTAGGTCTTTTTAAGCTGGATAAATTTCATTCCGCTTTATTTGGTTTGTTCTGCCTCCCTGAATAATGTTCTATTAACTGGCCACGTTGCTTACACTAATTGCGCTTATTTTCGGTAATTTTGTTGCGTTTGTAGCATTTTAAGTAACTTGTGGACATTTCTTACTTATCACGGATTTGTTGCTAACCAACTTACTTCATATGGTAATTTAGGGAAGAGTTATGTCACCGCATCTGTATGCATTGTTGGATTTATTTTATTTCAGCTTGTCGTTTAAGGTGAATGGCTGTTGTTTGATATCCCCGGTGTGGCTGCGCTTGATGTGTATCTTGACAAAGTGCTTACCTGTCTATTACCCACTACATCGTTCATACTGGCTCCAGGAGACAGTTGGTCGTTGCTGGAGGGGACGAGGTGCACGGTTCTTGTGGCCGTGCTAGGCTCAAAGAGCGGTTCCATGCACTCAATGTGGAGCGGACTACGGTCCAGCCACCGCCTTGTGTGCGCTTGATTCCCCAAATACAGCGTGCTTGTGTTTGCCTGTGAAGGAGTGTGGGCCGGCTCCGTTGATGAAACGTGGTTCCCATCCGCATGCCTCCCGGTCTTATTCCTTCGGGTTTACACTGGATATGGGGTGTGTGGGTGGTGCAGCGCAAGCCATCCATGGTCCCTGTGTAGGCGCAGGCGTCCTGTGGCTTGCCACAGTGACAGGCAAATCCGAAACCGGATGCCGCCAACCATATATATATATATATATATATATATATATATATATATATATATATATATATATATATATATATATATATATATATATATATATATATATGTCTGACGGTAAGCAAAGCACGAAGTCACGTTAGCGAAAGCGCCATCTGCTGTTTCTACCTTTATCACCTTACCCACCTACTTCAAGGAGTATTTGGGTTCAACACATATGTCTGTCTTCTGATGTGTTCCGCCACCTTACCAACACTCCACTGGATTGCCTGAAGAGGTGCTCATCCGAGCTCATTTGTCACACGTTTGCGAACTTTATAAGGTTTTAGTTTAGTTTCCCTTCTGTCGTCATCATTTTCGCCGTTTTACCGTTCAGCACGATCGCCTAGCTCCTTATCATTTTCGCACTTACTATTTGTCGTTACTGGTTTGCCTACTTTCCAAGCTCTCGAAGTCAGCAATGAGATGTCTATATCAGCCGCTGGTCGAACGATCGGTGCATATCCGCAGAGCGCAGCATACACTCACAAAGCCAATGCGACGATAAATAGCTCCCTATCCGGTCCCCTTATGATGTCTTCTGCCATCGGTGATGTTTCCGATGCTATTTGTGCTGGCCCGACCAAGTTGCTACAATTGGTGACTTCAAATCCCTCGACAACACAATCAACCACTAGCAGCCTTACAGCTAGTGACAAGTTATTTGGCCGCCGATCAAACGCTTATGTTAGGAGCGATCATTTAACTGCAGCGACGACACCTACTGTGCTCTATCCATACGCCAGTACTGTGGATTCGAAAGGTAAGCCAAGTCATTACGTCAACCGCGTTTTTCTCATCTATATCAATTCATCTTTTGCATCGTTAGTTAACGAGAGTGCTTTACTCGAACTGCAGGACTGTGTTCCAGTACTTCAACTCTTCCCATCAAATCTTCCTTTCTTAAATATCTTATTTTCCATATTCCATAGGGGGCTTTTCTTCTATCCTTCCCTTTACATCGACATTTGCGCTTATCAGTCCTAAAAGCATAATCAGTCTTGCAGTCATTAGGTTGGTAATAAAGTTATTGCTTTTTTATCTTAAACTTTTACTGCACATCCCTTGGCTCACAAGTAACATTTTTGCTCGAAATGAAAACCATTTGAATTGACACACTTATACCAACGTGATACTAGCTTATTTATTCCGGATGAACAAAATTCCGCAGTTCCGGTGGCGATGAAATCGTGGAAGGCGATTACAGCCTCTCCTTGGGTCTTAAAACTTTTCTCTCGTAGGGAGTTATCCAAGTGCTAGCGATCAGAGGAGAACGGTGGGTGAAGCAAAGGTTCCTAGCCTAGCTCGTGCGGCTTTCGTGGGTTTGTTTGTACCATGTGCGACCGAGCGTTATCATGGAGAGGAATTGGCCCCTATATGTTGCCAGTGCCGGACACCTGTGCTGAAGTTCTCGGTGCATTTTAACAATATCTTGACAGTAGTTCTCCACTGTAATGGTTTTGCTTGGCTTCAGAAAGTTTTAATGGATCAAACCACCCGAAGACGACAAAACTGTCGCCATGACCTTTTGGGTGCAATTTTAGCTTTGGGAATTGTTGTGGAGCTTGATCGTGGTCTAACCATTGGTCGTCGATTGTCGTAAAGGATCCACTTTCCATAGCAAGTCACAATCCTTTCGAGAAACGGGTCGTTTTCATTGCGCAGAAGAAGGGCGGACGACACATCAAAACGACGATTTCATTCATTTTCATTCAGTTCGTGTTTCCCCAATTTATCAAGCTTTTTCGTCAATCCAATCGCCCGTAAATGTTTTAGAACTGTCACATTCGATACTGCTAATTCAGCAGCATTATCTCGAATTGTTTTACGCGGATATGCTTTAACTAAGGCCCTTAATTGATTGTTGTTCACTTCCAATAGCCGTCCAAAACGATCTTCATCTTCAAGCCTCTCGTAACCTTTTCGAAATTTCTGAAACCAACATTGTGCAGTACAGTTATTAGTGGTTCCAGCATTATGTGCACTGTTGATATCATGGACTGTTTTCGCTGCATTTCGACCAAGTTTAAATTGATACAAGAAAACTGTACGCATTTGTCTTCTGTCCATGTTGCATTAAATGTTCGGTGAAGATGTACAAATGTGTTTCTGAGCTAAACTGTCACCATGGTTAGATAGAGCGCAAAGCAGGCTTCCAAATGATATACAAGGGAAAAGCAACTTACTAAAAATTACTTTAAAGAAAACTGCTAAAATAATAATATCAAAACACACAATAAATTTTTTACCAACCTAATATCATAATACCATTTCTGATAATGTGATCATATTAACACCTTCTCGTCAACTTCACCGCTCCACTCTCGGTCTTTTGGACATAATTTCGTCCGGTCTGCAATAGGGTCCCAGAGGCAAATGCAGCTGGTTTCTTTACTCCATGTCAGGTTGCAACAGAGCGGTTCCTACTCCGTGCGGTAATGCATCACATCTCAGCGTCATGTACTTTTCGGGGTCAAAGTGGGCCAAAACCGGTGGACAGGCCAATAAACTTTTAGCTGGACGAAAGGCCAGTTCATCCTTATCAGACCGCACCCACTGAGTGCCCTTGCATAACAAACGATGCGATGGGTGTCACACTGTGGCTGATTGCCGAACAAATCTTGAGTAGTGATTGTACATTCCCAAGAACGACCTCAGCTCGTGTTGATTTCTTGATTGTGGCGCCTCCAGGATAGGCCGGATTTTTTCCTCCATGATCTTCTGTCCCTCAGTACTTATACGGAAACCCAAATAATCAACGTAGGGAGCCAAGAATACACATTTTCCACGTTTCAGCTTTAAACACTTCTTTTTCAGATGGTCCAGAACAACTCGCAGTTTGTAGAGGTTTGTCAGTTGTCGCCCCCGCAACCAATTTGTCGTCTAGGTTTACGAAAGCTTTAGACAACCCTGTTATGATGTTCTATATTGTTTGCTGGAAAATGGCCGGAGCCTAATGTATGCCAAATGGTAGTCTGTTGTACCTGAACAAACCGCGATGAGTACTGATCGTCGTTATTGTTTTGGCGTCTTCATCTAGTTCGAGCTGCTGGTAAGGGTGCGCGAGAACCAAGGTTGAGAAATACCTGCTGGTACC